GCCATTGTTATAATCATTTACTAATGTCTTAAGGATTAATTATACGTGTTGTTGATTGTTAGTAGTACTAATTTATAACAATCAATGCTTCATAGTGTTCATTTAGATTGTTAAAAAACACAGTTAGAGAAGTGATTGTTAATAATCAAAGACCATGTTGAGTGAGAAAGTAACATTTCTCTTTCTTCAGTTAAGCAATTATGACACCCATAGCAACACCCACAATGCTCCACTCCACCCAATTCTAATGTCAATTAATCAAACCCAAGTTGTTGCCTTGTTCGTTGAGCATCCATCAATGGGCAGAATTGAGAGGAAACCAGAAAGGCAGAGCGGCTAAAGCAGCCCTTCTTTGGAATTGGGACATTCAATGATGCAACTTTTGTATGAGAAGATAGCAAATTGTCAAAACATGCTGCTACTTTCAACTTTCAACATATATGGAAGGAAGGAACAACAATTGTTAACGTTAAAAGTGACACTTTTAAGTTTTGTTCTTCCTACTCCTAAGCTACACAGACTAATTAGGCTGCATCTAGCAATTTCACAATTATTTACATGATGATCCAACGCAATGAGCCCATATATACAGTTGTCAAACGAACTCAATATTACAACAAAGTTTGACATCTGCCTTCAAACAGCAAGTAGCATAGCACTCACCAAAATGGAAGGAGCCTTTTTTACTCATCTTTCAGCAGAAACAGCGGAGTTATCTCCATTAGATGAAGATATAACATCTGTAGTCACAGTTACAGCCTCCGAGTCATTAGCTTCAGCATCACTCTGATACCCATGAAGTATCAATGTAATCAGATACACACAAAACTTGGCAAATAACTTAACGAAAACAATTAGTAAACCCACTATGATCAAAATTGTTTTATGAAGTCTGAAATACCTGCTCAGTAGGCTTTGCAGATGCATCCTCGATTGGTATGGTGGAAACCTTTGAAAGGTCTCTCAAAACACCCTGCAAACCATAACTTCCCAAGTGAATGACCAAAAGATCATATGTGATTATTGACGATTATAATTTTCTAAGAGCTAAGAATTATCCTCCGCAAGTTAATAAACTTCAGAAGACATGGTTTATTGCTATATCCTCTTCTGAATCTCATTAATCAAATTAAGATATGGTGGTGCCAGAAACATATTGACTGCAAGCAGAAAACTGATCTCAAGGTTATATCTTGTAAATTTTGATTTTATGCTTGTCCATTCCCTTATGGAGCTTATGGAATCATTTTATTAGACTTCTATATTAAAGCATCAAACAAGATAAGGCTAAGGGTTAGTCTTGGGCTTTTGAGAACTTTAAAGTTTACTTGATTATGCACCCAAAAAGAGGATTTTTCCTAAGTTCCCATCTAAGAAACTGAAGACATGATGGCAAATCAAAATGTTGCATCTGTTGCTATAACGGCAGGGATGGTCCATGGCTTTCCATCACAATGAGTTGTCAAGGAAGCAGCAACTCAATTATTCTCACCAATTCGATTATCTATAAGACTGTAAAAGGAAGCCTTTGATCTTTAGAAACATCAAAAGGTGATCATGGACAAAAATAGCTCAAACAAGATAGCACCTTAGTTTGGTACTCAAGCTTATTTATGATGTTGTTTGCTAATTTTGAATCACCATCAACTCAAAGCCTAAGAATGAAGAAACTGATATTTCACATCGGATCAAGTAACTGATTCATGAAGTGACAAATACCCATCATGTCTTTAATGAATGTCCATGAAATAACAAGTATAATTCTGGCTGATTTCCTGACCAATAAGTTTTCTTATGTTTCTTACATACAAAGAATAATCGATCCAGGATTTTAGTTTGCAGCACACAAGTAATTAATTTTGATAAAACTTAAAAGACTTTGAAAGAGCTAATTTGTCAAAATTTTAAAATTTGAAGGGTGAAACTAAATTTGCTTGTAGCAGAAGGTTTCATCCACCTCAACTTTCAGTTTTAAAATTTTTATAATCATAATTTCACATGTGCATTAAATATCTTCTGGACTAATTGAAATAAGCTTCACATGATGATTATGGGTCATACTCATTGGGATATGCTTTAGCACTCAATCATAATGTTGTGTGATTAAATATCTTTTTAATACAAAGAACACATATTTAAGAAAAAGTAGGACAGTCAATCATCTCACAGTATGCTCTCTTGAGTCTGCATGCAATTAAATGAGGAACAGACTTATGAAGAACTCTTTCCTAGTTTCACAAACCTTATTTGCCCACTTGAGTCCGCATGCATTACAGAGCGTCCTTGGTCCGGCAGGTCCACGACGCATCATAGGAGTGGACTTAGAACTGATTCCACAGTGTGTACATCTACACAGAAAATTTATGTGAAATAATGACAAAAAAAGTAACGAAGAGAATATACAGAAGGCCCTTTCAATGGTGCATGACAAACAAAATTTATAGTAAAAACTTGAAACGCCAATACAATGATAAATGAAAAGAAAGCAATTTGAAAAGCTACTCACGAAGTCTCTTCCATGCTCTCATCTTGTCCAGAACCTGGTGTCACACTCCAGCCTGAAGAGGCTGAGGCAACTTCATCAGAAATTGCCTTGGATGATGTGAACTGGCCCTTCTTACGCTGCATCCTGACAAACCACACCTGGCATGTTAAAAAGTGGCTAGAAGAACAAGCTCCAATTAAAGAATGATGAGGAAAAAGAGGAGGAACTGATCATTGGAATACCTGAGAGCCACTTCTTTCCGCACGGTATAGCGGATTTTCTTATCAAAGCACCGCTCTTTTCTCTTCTCTCGGAACCGGTTTAAAGAAGCAGCTCTCTGTGGTTGAATTGCCCTACCAGGAAAGTCACCCAGACCCTAGGGGAATGCAATAAAAGAAGTAAAATACAAAACAGAAGCTCCTTAGAAAAAGTAGTTACAAGATAACTTGCATGTTTGATCTAACGCATACCCTTTGTGTAACAGGAACTGTCCCCAATGCAGGAATACCTGACGGGATTTCATATCCACCTAGAAGTAACAACACTGCCTGTACCTGTAAAAATCAAGCACAAAAAAACTCTGAAGTTCCTCTTGTTTCTTCTTCGTATCTGAAACTGCAAGTTCTAATAGCACTCACTTCAATTCTTCTATTACAGTTTAACATTCATATACATCATTATTTTTACACGACGAATTAAAAGTCCATGACAGTCTCATATCAAAATCACCTAACAATGAACTGTACACTTGAATTTACATAACCAACCCCTGACAAGTAAGAAAATGAGAGAGGTCCATGACTGGTGTAACTCTAATTAAGAATGTTACAATAAAACAGTCACAAGGCAACATCAAAATAAATGTAACTACCTAATCAACAAAACGAACAAAGCCAGATTCAATAACGATGATAACTAATACCGTAACACAGCCATCTTCAATGAGCAGAATCCTTTTTGCAAAAACCGGGGCAAATTAAAAGCAATTGAAAAAATTAATGGGAGCCCAGATGGTAAGTCTATTCTCTTCGACACGAAACATCTTTAATAAACAAGTGCACAGCATACCAACCAGTAATGACTAAACCTGACTAGGAAAAGAAACTTTATGTAAATTGGGGGGGAAAGAGGAAGACTTTTCTTCATTTGAGTGAAAAGAAATTATGCATAACCCACCACATTACTTTAAAGAAAGTAATTGAGCAATTCACTATATAAGCCAGGCATAGATGCAAAAACCAATCCTTTTCAGCTATTAGCATTTAAACACAAAAGGCCGCTAGAAAATTCGCCAAATTAACAAATAAACTCAGTAATTCAACAAATCAACCTATAAGCAGATGCAAAAAGTAAACACTGAAAAGAAAATTTAGCATTTCTTTTAAAGGAAAAAACCCGAACCTTATCAGGAGAAACAGAATCAAACACATAAACCTCTCCTTGAAACGAGAGGGTGAGCTGATCAGCGCCGCCATTACCGGGAACGACGGTCAAATCGGATCCTTGACCATAAATATTGGCATGAGAAGCTTCTTCCATGCCATTATTCATAACCGTAACAACGCCGGTTGTCTCTTGGTATCCAATCTGGGGGTTATCAACAGACTCTTCCCCTCCTCCACCGGTTCCGCCTGGAACGTCGTCGTCTTCTTCTTCAAGGTTTTGTTGCATGTTCATGGCACCTGAACCGTACATTGATGTTGGCTGGTGATTCGAATTTGCCATCTCTTTGGCATCGAAATTACCACAAATCACAACCAGAAAATCTCCAAAAAAAAAAAAGCAAGGGAACAAATCCTCAGAAAGGGAACAAAACTGCGGTTAAGAAAATTAATAATAACTTACTAATTAAAATTTTATAATGAAAGAAAATGTCTTAAAGTATTATTATCCAGGGTTAAGGAAATTATTATTTTATGTGAAGAATTCGAAGAAGGGATGGAATCAATGGAAGAAGAAGATTGGAGGAGGAAGGAGGAGATGAGAGGGAAAAGAAACGCCCCTAGTAAATGAAGATATTTACGGTTGATGCCACTGGGAGTGGAACGGCCACTCGCTTGATAAACGTTGGGGATTTTTAATTTTACCAAAACAAAAAAAAAAAAAAGAGAAAAGGTTGGGGATAGTGGGCTGACTGCAGTAAGGACAGATTGACGTGAAATGCATACCGATTTTGCGGTTTGGGACAAAATAAAAGGAAGCTTGAAAGGGTTTTTGATCGAACAACCGACCGGTGTATGAAGGGTTTAAAAAGCGACACATGGCTCCATCAGGACTCTTCTTTATAATAATTTCTTAAAAGCAATTGGGACCTTCCCAGCACAACTGTTGGTTAACGACGGGTCTAAATTGGGCTGAGATGAGAAAAAACTCATTTGATCTGGTGGGCCGTCGTTAGTTGTAGCGTAAGAGAGACTCCAGTCCACTTTCGACACGTGCAGTGTCGGGCACACCAGATGGACCCTCTGTGCACTAACCAAATCCTACCCAAAAGGAAACAAACCAAAACCGAAAACAAAGAAATTCATACCCTTGGTTATTTTATAGAAACTGGAGCTATAAAAGCATGGATACCTGAAAACCATAAGCTCGTATAACAGAACCACACTCCAGACGGATAACTTGTACTATTGTTTGTAAGAAACAAGTGAAGACAATGAACGTAGAAGAGGAGGTCGAGCGACTCAAGGAAGAAATCACTAGACTTGGCAAGATCCAACCTGATGGTTCCTACAAGGTTTCCTATCTGACTTTCTCCTTTCATTTCTGGGTTTTTTTTTTTTTGTGGTTGCTATTTCGACATCACATTCTCCTTTGATTTGGATCTTCAATGCTTTCCATTTCTTAGTTTGATTGATCCGTCTTTCCTGTATAGCTACGAAAATGAGATCTGTTTTTGTTTTTCCATTCTCAGCTTTACGGTAGAGGGTATGACTGACTTACATAGAAAGTTGAAATTTAGATCAAAGATAGCATGTACCGGGCGAACGTTCCTGTTCATTCCCAGGATGAACCATGGAAAGTAAAAGGAGGAGAAGCCTCTATTTACATGATTAATACTGCATAAGCTTTTGGGGGCTGAAAAACTGCTAAAGCATATATTTGCCATATATGATGAAAATTCCAAGTAACAAGTCGGTCTAGCTTATCACAAATTTCACTGTCCAGTCGTATCCTCCAAGAGTCACTACTTGGATCTTGAAACGCTTCTCCCTTGGCTGTTGTAGAATCAGTAGCAATATTTGTTCTATTCAATCCCTTCTGCAAAACCAATTAAATATAAATTTGTGTAGTTCGTCTGGCTAAAAGGAATCTATACAACAACAAATTGAAGAGAGCAAACCTGATTTCAATCAGCACTGCGGACCAGTCTTCAGACAGCCTGTGCTAATGCATGCGTCGAATTTCTAACCCACTAAAATTTACATGCCCCACTTACCAGTTTCTTCTAAATTCAAGCAAATGTGCTTTAAAATCGTATAAAAGGTATTTTAATTCTATAAACATATAATGTTCTTTATCTCTTGCTGAACATGATAAATGGCCGCTGCAAGACACCTTCATAGATTCACAGGCCCAGTCGTCTTAAATTTGAATTCTGAGTTTTCTTTGAAATTAGCAAATTTCGAGAAATCTTTGGGTTGGGTAGAGATTAGGTTTAGGTTAATTCTTATGAATATCTTTGCGGTGACAAATGCACAAGTTTCTTTTTCCTCCATTTTGCCTGGCAAACGCAAGTATGGTCTATTTTGTTCTATATTGGCTATTTTAAAGCACATGGTATAAGAACCATTGTGCCTTGCGATTTTGGGATTTTCCTTTTGATTACACTGAGTGGATGCTTTTATGTGAATTACGTGACAGAGCAAAGGCATTAGCTTTAATACCAATGCCTTAATTCAATGATAGTTTAAGCTTCTTTTAATTATTGTTTTTGCTAATTGAATCTTATGATTTGCATTTTGATTCTTACAACTGTTATAGAATAAAACAATTGTGAATGTAAAAAAACCAAAATTATATCTGAGAAGTAAATGACTAAGAAAGTAACACTAATTCAAAATCATATAAAACATCAAGATTTTTCCTGTCCTTGAAATTTCCAATTTCCCCTTTGCAGTTTGTACTTTCTCCTTTTTAAGCATCTCATAGATCCACACGGTTTTCCAGAATTACATACTAAATTACATGGCAGGGTTTTTTTTTTTTTTTTTTGCTTCTTTGAGTACTAGAACCAATATTATATCATTGTACTTGAAATTAATTATCTAATGCAATTAAATAGAAGTTATAGCTAACATGAAACCTGCTAATACCAAAAGTGGTAGAAGGTACCCTTTCTTATTTCTATATTCAGTATGGGGCAAATGCATATTGTCAATCATATAAAATTGCACTTACAATGTTGGATTGTCCATGGTAGAATTTGCCATTCCATGTTTTGTACACACACGTTGCTATAATCTACTTTTTCGGTATAACTACATAAAAAATTCTGTTGTTTCATGTGTTAAAGGTCACGTTTGGAGTCCTATTTAATGATGATAGGTGTGCAAACATCTTTGAAGCACTAGTTGGGACACTGAGAGCAGCAAAGAAACGTAGAGTTCTTACATATGATGGTGAACTACTGCTCCAAGGAGTTCATGACAATGTGGAAATCACACTCAAAGCAACACCACCACCAGCAACTGCAGCCAGCAGCGGCAACTGATGCAGTTCTAAAGAAATAAACGAACTTATAATTCCAGCAAAGTTGCTATTCTATATACTATTTCCATGTTCATTGAGCTTTAAATCTTGGTTAAGTATAACATTACTCTTGGAAACTCTTTGGTCGATAAATTTTTCCAGAGTGAGCTCCAACTGGTATACTACATCCAGAGATATATATGTTCTCTTACAATATATTCAAACTGGATACAGGGTTGTCTACATATATTAGCTTTCACTGGCATACACTACATGCATTTATTGGATAATTATAAACTATAAAGAAAGAAGAAAAAGAACAAGATGAGACAAAAAAAAAACAAATAAATGAGCAAAGAAATGAATTGCTTTGAGTAAATATTCTAGAAGGGTTAAATGTCAAAACTTAGACTTCTAATTCAGGAATATCATATTCAAACCTTAGGAAAAAGAGTGAGGGTTATGACATGAAAATAAACTACCTCTGAATTAGGTAATCAACTCTTTTTTTTTTTTATGGCCAAGTAACTCAAGACTCAGTGAAGTTGTATATATAACAAAAAGAAAAGTTAAAAAGCATCATAAAATAGACAAAAGACAATTGTGATATGTATGATAAAAAGGTGGAAGGAGTTGACGGCCGCTTAACATACAATTGAATTATTTTAAGACAAAGAACACATTGGAGTGAGGTTACCTAGAAGACCAACATAATTTGTTGGTAAAGTCGACTAAAGCCACAAAGAGGGGAGTTTGAATCTTGAATTTCAATCCTCTACTAGAAAGAAGTGCCATTCTATAAAATATAGATGCTCCCTTTTTTAGCATGGCATTTCAAATTCAGCCTGGAAGCATATCTTCCAAACTAAAGTTGTATAAGCAAATCTTCATACATCTGAACAGAGCTCTCAACTTAGAGATGAAATTTAACTTTACCAAAAACTTGGAAATATCAACCACAAAGCATGCTCAAAGAGTAGAAAATCTCTACTCTGAATATTTTCTGCTTGAGTCTTTTTTAAAATTTAAATAAAAAAAAAAAAGACATTCAGGCTGATACTATATTAATGTAGGATTAATATGTGCATCTATTTTCGACTATACAGTTTTATGACAAACTTACATAAGGAAAATCTAAGAACGTGTATGAGTTCTCTTCCTTTAGTCTTGCTTTTTGATTATGCCCATCCCCACACCCAAATTGCAAGTGAATGTTCATTTGAATTGTTTTGTTGACGCCTAACTTTAGGCTGACTAGATGCTATAGGGTGGCAAGAGCCATGCCGAAGATAAGGAAAGTCACTGAAAGTGACACAGAGCTGTCCCATAGCCCTCACCACCAGCCCAACTAACCATTAAACCCATAGCTTCTCATGAAGGGTTAGATGAATAGGACTAGTCTACACTGTCTGGAATACAAATAAACAATGAAGAAATAGGCAATGGTTTCAAGTTTTCTTCTCCTTTTGTGGAAAATATTAGGTTTAAATGGAAATTATCATCGTGATTGGCAAGTGAGGATGATTTGCTCAGGGGAATATCATAACTGTCAAAACTAGTAACTTTCAGTTTGATGGTTCTGGGTTCAAATCTTGGAAAAGAAGAGTGTGTTTGTGGGAGAGAGTTACCACTAATTGCGTAAATACAAAGCTTAGTGAACCTCCACAGCTACCAAAATGAACATTAAAAAGTGTTATAAGAGAGACAGATAATTCTAATTGTAATATATTTTAAAGAAGTAAATAGGCAAAGAGAAGAAAAATAGGAGTTAACAGCTTTTAGCAAAAATTTGAATTACTTGAAAACAGAGAGAGGGGGAGAGAGAGAAGGAATAATAGATATTAAATTACCTGAGTACCAACTTACTGTTCTAGTACAATTGGACAACTTCATCGGGTATGGGGAATTTGAACCTCCACTAGAGAGGATGTGCCATTCTATGATATATGAACATAGATGTTCACTTACACATACATTCTGAATTCCACCTCATCTTCTAGACTAAAATTGTACTAATGATCGATAAATTTTCCATATATCTTCACCAATCTCCAAACTTAGAGCAGAATATTATTTTACAAAAACTTGAAAGAATTAATCGTAGAACAAATTGTTCAAAAACATTTACTCTGAATATTCTCTACTTAAGTTATATATATTCCAGCTGGTTCTTTATTGAGAATTGGTGAAAGGGTTTATTTTCAACTAAAGAATTTCATATCAAACTTACAAGAGTACAATCTAAGAATGTGCGAGTTCTCTCCTTTAGGGGGGTTATATCATACATATCCATTTTGCACCAAATTGTTAGTAAAGATCCATTTGAAGTGTACTTGTGATGCTGAATTTAGGCTCACTAAGATGCCATAAGGTAGCAAGAGCCAGGCAATAAGGACTAAGGGAATGAAAATAACAAAAGAGTAGGCCCATGACCTCATCACTAGCCCAACTAACCATAATAAAATAATTTATTATCAATGGTTGAAAAATAAACCCAAAACCAGACAAGAAAATAAGTAAACAACTCAAAACATTGACGTCCATAAGGCATTTACTACAAAACATTTGGTAAATGATTAGAGACTAAATTATTGTTGCCAAAGAACAGGGCTTGCATAGATGGCTAGACTAGTGTACACTGTTTAAAAAAGAATTAAAAAAAACAGAAGAAGAAAAGCAACTAAATAGGCAACAGCTTCAAGTTTTACTTCTCCTTTTGTGAAAACATTAGGTTTAAATGAAAGATTTCAACGTGATGGACCAGTGAGGATGAAAGCTTGAAGGAGGCTCTGAGCCGCCTGGGTTTGATCAGGTGTCCCAGATATGACAACAATCCTGTCACTTGTTCCTATTTGAGGTTCATGCACTATGACCTTGGCACCAGAGATCTGATTGAAGAACACCAGAGGAAAAGTTGATGTTGATTTAAGATCAGATATCTCATAAATATTATACGTTGACAGCAATATGGTATCATAGTTTTTGTTAGAAAATACTTATTAATTCTCTCTTATTAATTTTCAGGTGTGAACAAACTGATAACTCAAGAACGTGTAAGAAATTCAGTGAAAGCTTTCAAACATATTGAGATCAGATATTCCAAAATATTTAGTTGTGAAATTTCAAGGCACAAGGCTTGTTCTTAACTGTTATACAAGAGGGTTTTGAACAGACTATTTTCAGTAATGATGTCAGAGTATGTTCTTCAATAGTAGCATGGTTGCAAATCAGTCATGATATTCAAAAAGCATTTTAACTTTTTCAATTGTTAAAGCAGGATGGATTTGTGAAAAACACACTTTAAGGAATGACTTTCATTACTTTCATTACTTTCTTTACAGTTGACTTGAAGATATATGTCCACCTAGGAATTTTATCAAATGGATGTGGTAATGTCATTTTAGTTTCGATTGCCTTTTCAGTCTCAGATTCTTGTGGTTTGATTTATGGTTTTTAGGTAGTGTCATCTAGGTTCTTCATTAAGCTCTATTGAGAACTGAGTTGTCTAAAAGGTGATTGTATAATGCTCTGTCAAATAGGAGCAGCCACACACTCCCAGAACTGCTCTAACCTACTAAATATAGCTCCAAACATTTTTTTTCAAAACAACGCCACTAAAAGAATACACCGAGAATATAATAAAAAAATTTGCATGTTACCTCTCTTAACCGAGACAGATTGCGACCATTCTCCCCGTAAACAGAGTCAATAACATTCTCAGGAACTCTAATCTCTACAGTTGTATTTGTCACAATAGCAGATCTGTTTCCACTGCAAAGATGAGATGAAAGGGTCATTAACTAAGATGATATCATTTAAAATGCTTTCCTGCTACACAATCGCCTCTCCCAATTTTATCTGCCCCATATAACACCATTAAGAAAAGCATTAAAAAACTACACCAATCATCAAAATCCAATCCACGTTTAAGTTCAAACTTCGAAGCAAAAAACAAAAGGAGGGGGGGGGGGGGGGGGGAGGGATTACTTAGCAGTTAAACACGTGTAAATTCATGATTTCAATAAATTATGCTTTATGAACACTCATTGCAAGGTGCATTTGTGTGTGTTAAGACACAAATTTTGTAGTATGCTACCCACCTGCCAAGTTCAAATCCACCTCTAAGAGAAGTCAATCCTCTGCCAATATCTGTGGTGCTCCTTGGATTCAGCACATTAGCCGTCTGAAATTAAACAAAGCCACAGGTAAGAAAAAGGTGCAACAATTTGATTCCAGTGCGTATTTTTTCTGTTCCTGAGTGAGACTATAGGTGCATGCATGTACATGTCCTGTCTGAGAGAGAGAGAGTAAAGAAGGTACCTCTGATGTCCATAACCCTGGTGAATAAGGGCAATCTAAACTACGGGAAAGTCCAAAGGAATCCATACTATTCGGTGCCAATGTAGTATGCCGACTAAGATTATGAGAAACACCACTTGATACTTGCAGCCCAAGAGGGGCAGTATCCATCAATCTTTCATAAGGACTGGTCTCAGTTAAAACAGCGGAACCACTTTTTGCTCCAGCATTCTTCAGTGTGCTAGAAAATAGGTTATCTCGTAGTCTACCGGTAACATGATATATAGCATCTTTCACATTCAAATACCCTCCTGAAATCTGTGAAACAAAAACTAATAATAAGCAAATCATGCCTTACGAAAAACCAGGCTGATATAACTTTTGGAAAATCACTCATAATCAAGCATAAATAATAGTTTAAGCTACAATGTATCTGCAGAAAGAAATATACGGAGATCTTTCCTCAGCCAGAATCAACATATGATGGAACAGCTGGGAAATATATTAGCTGAACTCAAAACAGTCATATCATGGAACAACAATGGTGGGGCAACCTAAGGTTTAAAAAGATCATAATGTCATGATTTCGTTTGAACTTTAACCTCTGAAGTATTAGAATCATTTGTCCATATTTCTAGGAGATAACTCTTTGATTGAAAATCAGAGAAATTTACTACTTCCCCACAACACTGTAAGATTTTTACAAACATAATCAAAGAAAGCTCCAGCGCACCTGCACCACTTGGTCATTTTCAGTGACACACTTAGGGACCTGGTCAGTTCCCAAAATTCGAATGCCGGTACCAGTCACTTTACGCATTTCAGAAATTATTGCCCCTCCTTTTCCCAACAGACAGCCAACTTGGCCTGATGGAACAACGAGCCGAGCTGAGACATATGAACCCTTACCTGAGCCTGAATCTAACCCTTTTTCAATTGAAGCCTCCAAAGCTCTTACAAAAACAAGGACAACAGCCTTTTGTGCTGGAGAATACTGTGATTCTGGGTTCTACAGGACATCAAGTCAATAAAAGTCTATCAATAACACAAAGACCACAATCTAAATACAAGCAAAATGTCATAAAAGATGACAACATGACTGACCTCTGATGCAGTAACAGTTACCAACCGCTCATCACAATCATTGAGTGTAGGTCCAATGGTAATAGTAGTTCCTGTATCACTTTGAAGAGCCTTAATGATTGCACCTCCCTTTCCAATAACACCCCCAACCCTATCACTGGAGCAAAGAATTTTAAAAACCACTTCCTGCTGCAATGTTGTTGTATCCAAAGGAGAAGCACTCTCAGACTCTAGAGACAAAGGATGAACTCTGGTGGCATAACTGATAGAGCTACTGGATATAGTAGGCATCAGGGAACTACGCTGTGAAAGATGATCTATATTCAGATCAGGTAAAGCCTCCTGAGAAACAACATTAATAGGTCTACGCAAGGAGTCTTGCGGAACAACATCAATAGGTCTATGCAACGAGCCCTGTGGAACAACATCAATGGGTCTGTGCAATGGCTCCTGCGGAACACCCTCAATAGGTCTGTGCAAAGTCTCCTGGGGAAGTACCTCAATAGCTCTGCGCAAAGTCTCCTGAGGAAGTAAGTCAATAGGCCTGTGCAGAGTGTCCTGGGGAAGTAAGTCAATAGGCCTTCGCAAAGTCTCATGAGGAAGCAACTCAATAGGTTTACGCCAAGCCTCTGAAGGAACTGATTCAATGATCCTGTTTTCAGTTATCCTTGTTTTATTGACAGGAGGACAATCTTGGAGGCGAAGTGAGACAGCAACAAGCGCTTTCTTTACAGCTAAAACACCTCCTTCAATCTGCAGAATACACACAAGGGAAGAAATAATGTTTCCACTTAAGTATAACAAAAAGAACATACTTTCAAAAAAAAAAAGTATAACAAAAAGGAAAAAGGAAAGCTTTACGAAAATGAGAAGGTTTGGCGACACTAGTTACACTATATAGAAACTTTCAACCAAAATTCCAATTTCAACAATAGTTCTATGTCCCATTTACATGAGGAAAATCAATTTCCCCTTCAGAATTTGCCCCAAATTTTCTTCCCTTATTGTTTGCTAACAACCACCCTTACTGGGCACTTGTAAAGGTGCTGTTTATGGAAATATTTCGATATTAAATGCCACTGGTTGATCGTTAACTAGTGGCAGGAGCTGCTTATGGAAATAAATTATTATTAACGCTGGGGTGATTGTTAATGCAATGAGTTTCCACACATTGACGGAAGAGAATTCCTTAAAACATAACCATAACCAAATAAACTAAAACCGCCTAAAAGGAGTTAACAACTATGCATTCTAAGTTTGCCAAGTTAGAAATTTGTTCATTAGCCACTTAATCAAGAATCTAATTGCCACAATGGACAAAAAAAAAAGCAACTTTTCAAACACAAAATGTAAAAAATTCCTAAGACCAGAAACCCTAATTTAAGAACTCCCAACACAAACCTCTTACCTCCACAATCTCCTCCGTAGGGCTGGCACAAGCCGGTAGCTTATCCGTCAAAACCCTAATTTTGGTCCCAGTATCTTCCCTTATCTTCTCCACTACCTTACCGCCTTTCCCTATCACGCTCCCAACGTGCTTAACCTCCGCCAATAACCGACAAGAAACCATCACCAAGGCCGCTCCATCGCTCTCCGCCGCCACCTCCAGAATCCTCTCGAACACTCTCACTAACGCCTCCTGAGCCTTGGACACATCGATTTCCTCAACGCTACTACCGTAACCATTGCCAAGGCTACCTGAATTCAGTACAATCTTGGTATTAACAGCATTCGGGCCTATGACGGTAATAACCCGGTCCGGGCTTTCAGCCGGGGCATCCTCAATTCGGATCCTGGAACCGGTAGCCTGTTGCAGTTGCTTGATGACACTGCCTGACTTGCCGATGACGCCACCGACACGGGACGCGTGGCAGAGGAGACGGAAGGCAACGTGGCCAGGGGGGACAGGAAGAGGAGTAGCCGGAGGCTTGGAACGCTTGGAGGGTCCGTTCAAAGAAGGGGTCGCGTCGGGCATGGCTCGCTTTGTTGGTATAGAGAAGAAGGTGCTGCCCATAGCAAATTCAGTTGAAGCGATTAAAACTCAAGAAAGTCAAAAACTCTCTCTCCCTTTATACATATAATGGGTTAATTAATTAATCAATTATTTGATTGATTTGCGAACAAATCAATACTAGCATCCTCGTTTTGCTTCTCCAAGAAGAAGTTGCAGAGACAAAAAGCAGAGAGAGGGTTTTGGAGCTCGTTTCTATCGTGCATTGAAAGTTGAGATTTTTGAAAGCAAGGAGGCAGCCTGGGCCCAGGGGTCAGCTACTGGGCGCCAGCCGAGCAAACTCAGTTGTACGCTGTCGTTTTAAGGTGAAATGTTTGGTTTCATGAGAATGGATCCAACGGTGAATACGAGCCGTAGAGGTTTTCTAATTCCAACGCGTTTTCGTTATCCATTTTTCCTAGTCGTGCTTTTGTCGTAGTCGCAGATTTTTACCATGTAGTGTGCGTGCTCCTAACTGTACACTGTTTTATACCCTCCTTGAAGGATTTATACCCTTCCTATCTGTGCGTCACATGCGAGAATATATAAATACATTATTATTATTATTATTATTATTATTATTATTATTATTATTATAGATATAAACATATAGGAATTATGCAAACAATACTTTTTTTACCCTAAAATAAAAAAATAATTTTATTGTTTTAATTAAAAATAATATCAACTGTAAAAACTCCAAAGCAAATATAAATTTCAATATAAAAATGAAACAAAATTTATCCATATAAAAACTAAGGCCCAACTGATCCATAACAATTAAAGCCCAAGAAACCTACTAAAACAATAATTTTTTTAATTTAACCTATTTAGAATAATGTACAAGTTGATAAGAGTTTAGAAAATCAAAATACAACTAAGGTTGCAACACAAATACAGAAACTATGTCTTTTTTCCTTTTACTGTTGGATTGGTTCTTACAACGACCAAACTCAACTTGTAAGAAGTGTGTTGCTTTCACATTCGACCTTGTAAAGCATTACATTTTGCTCTTCCTGAATCACATACAACTCTCGATTATTGAAAAAACAGAGAGAAAAGTATCAACAGTGGAGAGGAAGAGCTGTCATGTGAACTCGTAGAGAAACAGAGCAACAGAGCAGAGCTGGTTTCATATACATCACATCTGCTGGAAAGAACAAAGTCATTAGACTTCATACCCAGGGTTTACTTTCTGTTGAACATCTTCATAGCTTTCCAACTCATCCATATCCTCCAAACTCCCCAAAAAGAGAGGCAGTCTTTGATGCAGTTTGACTGGTTGGATGGAAAGAATCCTACTTTTACCATCCGAACCTTTGCCTCCAGCTTGCTCTGCAAGAAAACTGAGAGGGTTTGCCTCATACACCAGGCGTAGATGGTCCCTTGGATTCATTGCCAGTCCACCATACAAGAGAGTCCTATGGAAATCGGCTACCAAAGAACATATATAACGTGCTGAATATTTCTTAGGGTATTTGCCTTTGCCTTGTCTCACTGTGTTGATATATTGCCTTAGACCTTCAGGCCAGTCAAAATACCGTGCATCATTAACAGAATATATTTGACCTGAAATCATTGAGTAGCCAGCCCATCATTAAAGGGTTACCATTTAATCAAACTGATAACATGGAGACCATCATAAGTAATAAAATCCAAATAGAATTCCCTTGAATTTGTGAAATCAAGAAGTAAAAATCAGATTAATCTAGTTTAAATGAATTAGTGAGCATAACATTTCACCATCAAGATTCTGCATGTTACCTCGAGGAGGAATTCTAATGCTTGGATGTGTGAGAATAAAGTCCCCCGTTGAATGATCTAGTGTAAATGCGTGCGTTCCAGAGCCAAAGCTAGCACAGAGAATTGTGGCGGATGAATAGAGAACATAGCCAGCAGCTACGAGCCTGGTTCCACTCTGTAGGGAATTCAGTGATGCCTTCTCCTCTGTTGGTAGATGATCTAGCTCCACAAGTCGCTTATATATCCCAAAAATTGTTCCAGTGGGAATGGAAGCATCTATATTTCGAGAACCATCAAGAGGATCCAATACCACCACAAAAGGGCCATCATCATTTATCCAAATAGGAGCATCATCTTCTTCTGAAGCCATGACTGAAACCTTTGCTGAATTTCTAAGAGAGGACAATATGATTTCATTCTACAGAACAAGAAATATTGGCAGGTCAGAAATGTCTGTTAACTTTCTGATACTTTTCGCTATTTCATGAACAAGTCCTAGTTACTCTAGAATACATTTTGACAGGGAACATCCCAAACCAAAAATTCATTCAATTACATATTTACATCTTTAATATCAATCAGCTTCTGGATCAACTCAACTTCTCAACCAGAAATTTCCTGCTGTAGACAATTCATCAAATCATTTACAATGATACCATCACTCATCAGAAGACTAGGAATTCATGTCAACTATGATCATATATGAGCCACATTTGATACAAAGACCTAGAATCAGAATAATAGGCAAACTATTTAAGAAAATATGCCCAATAATAGCACCACCAAAATACTATTGAAAGGGGAAAAAAGAAGAAGCAATGCTCTTAAAATTCAATCATGAAAAATTAGCATAGCAAAACATACTGCCACAATATCGAGCGGCTTTGGCTTATCCCTGTCTGAACCACCAGACCCGGATGTGCCGGCAGAAAGACCTGAATATTTCCCGAGAGCAGAATTAAAAGGAGAAGCCACGAGAGCAGCAATTCTCTTGCAAGCATATTGTATATGATAAAGCAAAACCACTAACTCATCTCCCACGTCTAGTCCTCCTTTGCCAACATACTCCATCAGTGTAGAAAACCCATTTGCATCACCACCATCAGCAGTCGTTTGCATCTGGGACTTAGCCACAAACCCAGAAAAAGAAGCCATTTTTGGTGGGGCGTACAAGCTCAAGCCGTCTCTTAGACAAAATTGCTGTTTTCGAGGGAAAGGATGAGACTTCAGAGGGAAAAGTGGAGATGGGTATGAGGTGGTGGGTAACAATAACTGTTGCATATTAGTAAATGGAAATTATAGAGGTTGTTTCATATGTTAGAAGATTGAAGTGGAGATGGCAAATGTAAACATGGGATCAGAGACTGGAGACAGAATTCTTCAAAGGAATTTAATGTGGATTTTTGGTTTTGGATTTTGTGTATCAGTGTGGAAGTGAGGTTGGGAAAATAGGTAAATGGAAGGGATAACGGATAGTAATTACCTCAGTTGTGGAGCTTAAATCGGTTGTCTTAGCTGCGTTATATTGAGGCCAAATATCTTTGTCTTTTTCTTCTATTTTTACCAAAATTATAGTAAGAACAAAAAACGGCTCAGGGAAGACTTGGTTATCTCTTTATGGAATTTAGAGCCTGTGCTAGATAGTAAAATGAAGCATTTAGAACAGTTTTTGTTATGATTGAGGCAGAATGAAGAGAGTACTACTTTGGCACCATGGTCCTTATCGTTTATTAGTATTTAGAGAGTGTTTGGATACTGTTCAAAAATTCTTAGTAAGAAAACAATTTTAATGGTTACTTAGAAAGGATTGTCAAACATCGATCAGTTTTTTTTTTGTTTTTTCTTAAGCAATGAGGAAAGTAGAAAAGAAGAAGAATAGTTACACAGTTAACATATTGCTGTCTCAGTATGTATCTCCTTTTCAATCTTCTTTGTTGGGCATCTGTTTTACTAATTTTTTTCCCTCTCTTTTTACCAGAAGAGAATAAGAAAGTTCATTTCAGGTTTTACCTTTGCCTTTTGCCTTACAAGTTCCCCAACCAAAGCCATCAAACATATCCTTTTGGAAATCCCAGAAGGCAAGATCCGTAGCCCTTATCATCGACAGGAAAAATGTGTCACATCCAAATTTTCTGATGTACCCTGCATCATAGCTGATATTTAGACTGGTATAATCGAGGAAAGTTGAAAATGAAGCTCTTTACATAAAAAATGAAAGAAAATTATGGTGGATGGATCCGCACGTTTGTATCCTCTTACGAATCTTGTTGACTTGTCCACTAGACAACAATAATTGATTCATTCAAGCTTTTGGAGTTTAGCATGGAGGCTGTTCCATGAAAGTCTATGATTTTGTTCCCTGAAAGCTCAGTATATCTACCTCTGCACATAACACTAGACTTCATTGATTGGGAATAAATAGAGCCCCTCATTTAGGATTGTGTTTTGCAGAGAACTGCTAAAGTGCTAATACTTGAAGAAATGGTGTCTCAAGCAATTGATCTTTTGAGGAACGAGCTGCCTCTTGAGCAGGAGTCAGTGGTTTTGCCTGAAGATGTTGTGACTGGCCTTGTTCTTGTCGATATCATCAATGGCTTCTGCACTGTCGGTGCTGGAAATCTGGTAACTATTGTCCCTTAACTATTTTGATATAGCAGACGCTACGCTTGTAATACAAAGTTTTTGCATTCAATCAGGAACTTTATATTACCTTGTATGGTCGTAGGCCCCAAGAGAACCCAACAGACAGATTTCGGGGATGATCAATGAATCGGCAAGGCTGGCAAGACTTTTCTGCGAAAAGAAACTGCCTGTTATGGCGTTTCTGGATTCTCATCACGCTGACAAGCCCGAGGATCCCTATCCTCCTCATTGTATTGCCGGCACCGATGAATCAAATTTGGTTCCTGGTTTATATCTACTTCTCCTCATAGTCAATTTCTGCATCAATTCAAATGCTGTGATTTGATTTCTGTATATCATTGAGTTAATGTTCAGTATTGAATGAACTTTTTTTGCCTCTCAAATGCTGTTAAATTAGAGTTGACAGAACAATTAAACGCACCATTTGGTCAACTATAAGTTCTAATATCACTCTCTCTCTCTCTCTCTCTCTCTCTCTCTCTCTCTCTCCCACCTTTGGTTAATTCTGCAAAATGTAGCTTTGCAATGGATAGAAAAGGAAACGAACGTAACAATCAGGCGCAAAGATTGCTACGATGGATATTTGGGTTCGATTGAAGCTGATGGTTCGAATGTTTTTGTGGATTGGGTGAAGAACAATCAGATCAAAACTGTAAGTAATCAATACAAAAATTTCAGTAGCAGATATAGAGTTAAGCTTTCTTATGCCTTTTTATTTTTCCCAAATAGTTGGACGGGGGTTACTTACACCATGATTTTTGTGGTCACAGTTACTGGTAGTAGGGGTATGCACAGATATCTGTGTGCTGGATTTCGTGTGTTCAACATTATCAGCAAGGAATCGTGGCTTTCTGAGTCCTCTCCAGGATGTTATGGTGTATTCACGTGCCTGTGCAACTTTTGATGTTCCTCTTCACATTGCCAAAAACATCAAAGGAGCTTTACCTCATCCACAGGTTTGTGTTTAACGGATAAGATTAACTCAAATGTAAACTGAAAAATCGTTTTGACTTCTACTGATCTTATCCTTGCAGGAGTTGATGCATCATGTTGGCCTTTACATGGCAAAAGAAAGAGGAGCCAAAATAACAAATGAAGTCTCATTTGGTGCTCCAAATAAGCCATAAGCCGGTAGGTGTGAGATGTGTCCCATCCGAAGCTTGGCTATCTTGACTGTAGCAGCCTCAGGTTTCTTCTGAATAAAGATTTTAGGTCATGTAAACTATAAAGTTGAACATTCACTAGGCCTTTATGCGAATGGAAAACAAATATAAAAGCATGTATTAAAAACTATAGCATATGCCAAGTTTGGACTTTATGCGTTTCTACACTTCTTGACCAATGCCAAAATAAAAGCATATAACATACCCAAACATTTAGCTCAATGATTTATGTATCTCCAAATCAGAATTAAAGATAAAAAACACATATTGAGTAATACCTTCACTCTTCCGACTAATGTTTCCAAGGACTACACAGGAAACAATACAACAAGCTTAACAATAGGATGATATAAATTCAAATAACATTGCTAAATATCTGGTAAAATCTGCCTCAATATTGATTATCATTGCACACAGAAAATTAAAATGAATATAATTACAGACAAATTAACTTTGAAGCTTATTCTGCTAGCTGTATCACAAAAAAAGGTCATCCAAAAACCTTCCATATTCTGATTTGAGTTCAGCTATTTCACTATTCCTAACTCCATCTACAGCCCGGATTTAGTTAGAATTGCAAAATTTACAGTAATTCCAGCTATAAAGATTATGGCTATGATGATTCAGGTAAGCCTGTCGTTTGGGAATTGAATGGAAGCATAATAAAATTACTAATACATTTAAGGAAAGCACATGCCAAGAATCCAGGCAGCAGAAATACTGGACTTTTTTGGTCAATCTTGAAGTTCCATGGTCACTTCCAGGGTCAATATGTTCACTGCATAACTCATAAGTCAAGTGGGCTTTCAACATGTGAGCTAAAACCTCTTCCCTTCTTTGCTGCTCTGCTATTCGGTGACAAGTATCATGTTTAACTGCAAAAGGAAATTTCCATTATTGAATATTTACTTAAAATAGAGAAGAAATCTAACAAATACTACTGTCAACATATTATAATGAAAAGATCCCATAGTGATGACTTTTAATTGCACAAACCAATACCACTATCAACCTTAATGAACAACAATTATTCTTAAAAAGCATACAAATCCAGTTTCCTCTGGGGATTGGATTAGCTAGTTATGTAGACAATGTCATTTATGTGATCACACACTCACACACACACACACACATATACATATATGTATGAAGGTATATGTTTGTATATATAAAGAATGCAAAGTTTGAAACCACTTGTCAAGACTCAAGGCAACATTAATGAAAACTTCAATAATCTCAAACTTTCAGATATAGTGAATGTATGACTGGACCTGTGCACATGAGAGAGAGAGCGAGCAAAACCAAGATAATCAATCAATCACCATGATCTGTACATGGCAAATAGTTCAAACAATGTGCCACCTGATCACTTTTGCCGATTATAATTTATGCCACATGCTAATGTAGTCTACACCCAACAAGGTATTAGAGCATTTAGGAAAATTTTGCCTGATGAAAGCATAATTAATAGGCTTACTTGTCACAGAGAATAGACCCAAAACAATAACAAGCCAATGAAAGTAAACTTACACACACTTCCTGCATCTACTTTATGGTGAGGAAGTACTTACCCCATGTCATCTGAACAAATAATAAACATGCTCAAACATTATGTACAACAGACTATGGTTGAAGCCTTAGTTGATTGAAGAACACCAAGAAGTGATATTCAGGGGCCCAATATACAAATCCAACAACAGGCCCTCCTTTGATGTACTGCATGAATTAGCAAGTTAGAACATCAAATAATCAGTATCCATTTGATAAATAAAGACATCAAATCAAATACACTATCAGCCAAAGGAGATAAACCTTTCCATCGAGAATAACGAGCTCGCCATCAACCCATTGAGGATTTCGAAAGCCTGGCTCAGCAATCCTCCCTTGTCCTTTATATCGTGCAACCTGAGTTGGAAACAAGACCACAAAAACTCATTAACTTTTGAGGAGGTGATCAAAGAGAAAATTTCAAACAAAGGCCAACAACAAATTCAAACTTTTACAGCTAATAATGTACACTAAAATGTACCACTCCAAATTCTTCAGGAATTATCCCTTTATGTGGGAGCTGATATCTTTTTCCAATTCTGGCTCGAAATGCCACCTGCAGAAATTCCAGGTATTAGGAGACAAAGCAACTAAAAGTAGATAATCATTTCAACAACCAACATACAAGCAATAGAAGTGGGGAAAGCAGGGAGTAGGAACTACTAATTAAAAGACAATAATGAGATATTCAGCTACATTTGACATGCATAAATAATTGGGCAATTCAAAATTAAATGATCCTCTTTTATAACTCCATCAAAGCTACCTCCAATCATAACAAATGGTTAAAATAAATAATGAAATCACCTGTCCTGCTGGTACATAAGGATCTCCCGTTAATTTTACAGCTTCCACATATTCATAAAATTCAAGATCTGAAGGATCCTTAGTCCCCCTATCTTGCCACTGACCAAATTTGCGTCTAAGATGAATGACTTCTGAAGTGTAAAGCCCATGTGCACCAATATATAATCCTGATCAAACAAACATGTCATAAATACAACATGAAGAACTATCATGACAAAACTGACAGAGCAGAGGACGCAATGAGAGAGAGAGAGAGAGATCATTTCATGAAAACATTAACGAACATGAACAGATGGTGTTACAAATCACCGTTTAGAGGATCTGGTGATGCCGTGATCTCTATGCGGTGGAAAGTTGTTGATCCAGATAGTGGTTGATGATTTTGAGCCTGACTGAGAGTGAGATTTATTAATTCACCAACATCTTTGAGCACCTGCATGGTTGAAATTAGTTAGCAAACCAAGCATTCTACAGTAGACTTAAATAGAAAATGGTTCTACAAAAACCATTCATCAAATATTTATTTAATATATTGAACCTACCTTCAAAGGTATCTTCTCTCTGCCAACGAATTTAGCAAGATCAAACATTATGTTATCTATGCTGCGCTGACTTTGAATCTTTTCTTTTCTATCCATAGAAACCCTCGTCCCGGGACCAGAATCTTGTTGGTTTATGTCATTTTCTATAAAAAAGGAAAATGTTAGGCGCCCCTTTTTCACAAGCTTAGCTGGCACTCTAAGTGACTCTGTTGCAGGCACACTGCCAGAAAGTTTTCGTGCAAGACCACCAACAACAACTTTAACCGCAATTTCACCTCGCATGTCATTATCAATAACTCCACTATCAGCATTTATCTCAATCTGATCTCTATCTTGGTCACTTTCACTCTTAATTTCATCATCCACTTCTACATTTTCTATCTCGGCATCTTTTTCTTCATCTTCTTCCTCTATTATCTGCTCAATCACCTTAGATATAAAATCTCGGTCTACTTTCCCAGGTGTAGTGACTTTCATGACCTTGACTTTTACACCAGGAATCATATCCCGCAAAATATTCTGAAAACCAGTTAGTCCCTCACCCACATCAGATCCATCATCTGCATCATCATCATCTTCATCATCACAATCTTCATCATCTTCAGTACTCACGACAAAAATATCACTGTTATCTTCACTGGAGCCTGATGGACCTGAGCGGCTGGTGGCTCCTGATGTTTTGGAAGACACCATTGAAGAATCTTGGAAAACACTCCTCCTTTTCAAGTACACAGCCTAAAAAACACCAAATATAATTGCAATCATAAAACATTAAAATGCTACTGCAAAAAATATGAATGCCGTAGTGTCCCTCAGCTGGATGCTTGGAACACAAAGGTATTATTAAATGCATTTGCCAGAACACAAGCATTTTTTATTCTTTCTAAGCTTTCTAAGCTGTATGCTTACAGCTCACTGAACCAGGCACACACAAAGATATTCTCGTATGATGTAAAAATCATTGGCAATTCAATTGATGACAACCTATCATCAAGCTAAATACAACAGTTGATAAATTTTCATTGCTTCAACAAAAATCAAAACAGAGAAAAGCAAAAGAATTGTCAGCTCAAGAATTATAATCATCAGATCCCTGCATACAAATATAACCACCCAGGCGGCTTCCCAAAGCAACACTTAGCAGTGCTGTTAGCCAGGTTTTGTGTCAACTTATCAGAAATATTGCTATCTAAGTAAAATAGTTTCAATTAAAACAACAAAAAACTAAGCAGCAACCAGAAAGGACCAAAAAAAAAGATACCTGCTGTTTGTATTCACCTTTCTTATTTACAGTAAGAAAGATCTCAAACAGGGGTACACCAACTGATGCAGAAGCAAGATGCCTGAAAGAAAAGAATCAGTCTAACAAGAACTCAGAAATAATATTTGAAATTACAAATAAATAAGTACAAGCAAGAAGCATAAGAATTGGGAGCCAATTCAAAATATCTACACAATAAATGCTCCACGCATTAACTGTATTCTTACTGTTACTAGAGCTTATACACGTGAACAGAAACAAATAAATCCATTTATATTTACTATCTTAAAAAATAAAAGACACACACACACACACACACACACACACACACACACACACACACATATATATATATATATGAAACAGGGGAGTGATTACCTTGGACTATAACTCCTAGCCACATATCTGCCATGCTCAGCAGTTATACGTATAATTAGACCATAAGGATCTTTGGTATCATCTGAAAGACCAGCCCACCATCCAACCTAGAACCCAAAACCATGAAACCAAACAAATATTCACTTACCCACTATAAAAAGGTTCTTCTTTTTTTGTTTTCTTCATTTTGAAAGGGCAAAAAGGTTAAGTTACCAATCCAGCACCGGCATTGTCTCGTAAAAATGCTGCATCGTGGAAACGTTCTTCCACTACTGCTCTCTGCAGTGACAAGAAATCAGGTCAGCGACATGAATAGAAATTTCTCCTCTTTCTAAAAATAAATAAATAAACAAAAGAAATAGATTTCGTACATTTAAATGGGATATGACTCTGCCAACAGTGTCATTCGTAGCTGCAGCTGCAATTGCTACCTTTAACCTAGCAGCATCCTCGTAGTCTTCTCTACTTACAGCTTCAATTAACTGCGACTGTTAAAAGATAAAAAAAGAAACAAACGCAACATTAAATCTTTCAATTAAAGGTATTCCATTAAATTTCTCACTTTCAGGGAAAAAAAAAGAACCAATTAAGAAGCATAGATTAGGAAATACCTTTAAAAGGGAGAGGAGGCGTTCTTGTTCATCAACTTGTTCGAAATGCTTTTTCCAGCGATCCCAATCCCAATCGTCCTCTTGGCCTCTTTGACGGCGTTTTCCATCAGAGACGCCATCGTTTAGCACACCTTTGGTGGTGCTGGAGTCTTTCCGGAAAGGATTCATGTAGGATTCGAATCGCTTGATGGCATTCTTGATAACGTCTTGAATGGCGGAGTCCCATCGCCAGTTAATGGAAGAGGAAGAATTACTATCGGAGGAATTATCGGAGCAGCGACAGAGAGTGGAGTCGGGAAACCTCGATGGAGGGTAAAAGGGTCTTTTGAGGGAAGGAAATCGTGGGCTTGGGAAAGTAAGATTATGACGAGGCGTCGGAGTTGGAATTGAAGCCATCATTCAGCAACGAAGTAACTCTGTTTTCCTTTCTAGCACAGTGGTTGAGAAAATTTACTAGAAATTTCTAAAGAAAGAAATTTGTGAGGAGAAGCGAGTGAGAAGAGAGAGTGGCAAAGGAGGAGACTTGTGCGTTGCAAGAGAGAGAAAGGGTGTGGGTGGTGAGCGTGGAGAGGGGTAGGCAATTTGGAGATAAAGCAATGTTCTCAGCTTTCAGGTTTCAATTGCGTTAGACGCTTTGACACTTCACGCCCATCCTCTTCCATAAAATACAGTATTTATATATTTTATGGGTCAACAAAAATAGCCTTAAAAAATAGAACAGTGGGCGAAGTGAAAACAGGAGACATATTGGAGGTTATTTCCAATAAAAACAATAAATGCATAACTGCGATATTAAATATGTAAAAGAATAAATACTGATAAAATTGTCGTTATCTTCGCAACATTTGTGAGTAATGATTTAGAACACTGGGGAAAAAAATCACAAACAAATTGAGAGGCTAAAAATCTTGTCATCAATTCTATAATACGTGTCCCTCCTCCCTTGTGCCCTGTTTTCTCCTCTCGCCTTTGAATCCGGTTACAAACTTACAATTCGCAACACGTGCCGTGCAGTAGAGGAGAATATATTTGCTGTGGCAAGCCTCTTAATTAAACACGACTCAGAGTTTGTTATAAATGCTGCATTTGGTGTTCGGAAATCCTAACCAACAGAAAGTTAGCCTGCACTTCAGAGATGCAAATTATATACAGAATTTCCGCAAATCCACCGTGTTGAAGTATAATGCAGCTGAATCAACTGAAAGTCTGAAACGTATAGGCTTTAAATTTTTAATAAGGATAAAGGGTGCTTAAAAGTTTGAAAAGACCAAAAAGAAAAAGAAACGAAAACGAAATTGCAAGTTCCACCAATTGGTTCTACAAGTTGAAAGCGAACGCTTTGATCACTTATAAGGGTGGAATCACTGTGTATCAGCACTGGGCAAGCTTCACAAATAACTCAAGTTCCCACTTTCCTTCAACCAAATCACAGAAAGGTCCATTTGTAAGATGTACTCTTACGTGCTAAACAATTGATGGATGGCCGCTCTGTTCACCAGAATGGTTGCTCGGTGATTGATCAGGATTGATTCAAGCTTATGGGTTTCTTTTTGTTTTTTTCTTTTCAAATTAATCACTCTTTCATTGTATATTTAAATAAAAAACAGATCAAATAATCTTTATCTTTCTTTTCCTATATTCATATGTAGAGGGAGTTTTTGTGATAGGGAAAGAAGAACAGTCACAAATAAACAAAAAGATGATTTTGAAATTGATAGAGAAAAAAATTGAAATAGCACTTAAAGTACTGAATACTGTGATAAATGAAAAAATAAATAAGTGACGAACTAACGTTGAGAATAAAAAAAAATTAAGTATTAGAGAATTTGAGAGAAAATATTTAGAGATAAAGCCAAGAGTGAAAGTGTATCTACCTCTATAGAAAAAATCTTGTTCTGTCAAAATGAATTGTCAAAACATTAAATAGAGAGGAAGAAAAAATTATTACTTAAGAATATGTTTTAATGCAATTAATAAATAATAGCACTAAAAAGAGATTCATTTTACATAATTAATAACCGTTTTTGATCCCATTGCGTGATTATTGAAGTAGTTGGTTTTTTTAATATAAGATCATTATTAGTATAGTTAGCAGAGAAAGTTATATGAGAGAAAAGGTATGAGAAAATAAGATAAGATAGAGAAATATTTATATTTTATAAAAAGTATTAAGAAAAAGATTTTTTAATTACTTCTTTATTTAAATCATTAAATCAAATTGTTCTGGACATTTTGACATACAACTTTTGTGATATAGTTAATCCTACCATTTGGTTTAAGCTACTTTCATTATTATTTTTGTGATATAGTTGTTCTACTCGTTTTTTTTTTCTTATTATTATTCTCTGTACAACATTATACTTTATATAAAATAATTTTTATAAAAATAATAAATTAATAACCCAAATCAAATATCTACTACATGTATACCCACATGCCTGCTTGCATAGTTATATATGGGTCTATATGTGTGTGACCTTGTATGGAATCCCAAGCAGAGAAGTATATATACTTCCAAATTTCTCACCCACCGATTTTTTTATCCTTTTCTATTTGACAAATATTAAGGAAAAAAAAAGCACACACTGAATCACTTGAATGTAGATGCAGTGGAGTCAACATATAAAAAAGAAATCATCAATGGTCCCTAGGTGAACAAGAAGAACGCCAGAACTACTCAAATATCTCTACATGCATTTGAAAAGACACTGCTCCTGCATGATATGCTGACCACCTTATCTGAAGCAACATTAGCTACATGCTCTCCATAAAAAAAAAAAAACAAAAGAACTATAAAAAGGGGAAGAAAATTAAGTTATTTTCCAGCAAAGGAGTTTGTAACGCTATATTATAAAAAGATTATTAGGTTATTGCACATGCATTTTCCCTAAATTTCATTAACTGGATGGCTTGTGTAACCATGAACGGTTATACTTACCCTTTTGTGGTGTATGATAAAACATGCTCTTCGTAAAACTAACAGTTAAAACAACTTCTGTTCATTGCAACAACAATAGTAGTGTTTGGAGTTGGGACATCCCCGAGGATAAACATCTAATTAACAAGTGCCATAGAATCCTGTGTATACCATCAGAATATGGCAGTGCATGCCGTCGTATCCAGCACAGTCTCAATTATATTGGAAAAAGATCATCTCCCCTATGGCTTTATGATGTGTATAATGAGAATCATACAATTAGGTTGTTAATTAAGCAGAAGTATGATGTTAATCCGATGCATCCGTAGGCACTGTTCTTCAATCGATGAAAACCAGTTTCATTAACTAATGAAATCCGCACCTTGTGTTCTGAATTTATGATTCTAACAGCATGGTGTTTCATCAAATTCAGAATGTCTGCAACTCATTAACAAATGTTTGCAACCATTACATTTGACATTTCTCAATTTATTAAAATGAAGAAGAGGAAGATATGACGATTTCCTTTCTTATGATAACAATGCAACAGTCCGGTTCTTCTCTCTTTTGCTTTCTAAATGAAAATCAGTGATTCAGCAGAAAGTTGATCACTAAAGAACAAAGAAAGTTTTATTGAAGCCCCACTTATTACATATTCACCAGTTTGAGATGAATAGTTATCTAATCATTACATTATTTTGCTATGATTTCTTCATGAAGCTGCCAAATGGTTGTCAATTTGTTCTCTCAGTTTCCCATTTTGATCCACTGGTTTTTCTTGTTTTCCGTTTTCTTGTTACCAGATTGCATGCATTATAAGCTGATAATGCTTTTATTAAAATAATTTTCAATAAAAATTCATATTGATGGTATAGACTCCCTCAAGCCATTTAATAAAATTACACTGTTCTATGTAGATTTGTTGATTGATCATAAAGCTTTTCATGTTTCATGTTTAGCTTAGCACTGTTTGTATCGGTAAATCTCTGTCGTTTGGAACATACGCTTCTTTATCTTACACAGTTAAGTTGAGACATCATCCACCAAACATGTTGAACTAAATTGTGAGTGCTAAAATCACTTGGTTCGGGTGTAGGACAGACACTTTTCTGTTTGAACGTTGAGACTGTTGTGGGATAAGAAGAATTTATGGGTTTAACATTAATCAGTTCAAACACTATTTCTGTTACCAAACAATGTTTGGCAGACGAAAGATGGTTAGAAGCTGAAAATTAAATGAAGCAAACGTCATTAGACTCATTACTATATATTAGCATCAAGAACAAGTTTTGTCATCTAAAATTTTCTCTCTTAAGGAAAGAATAGAGAGTAAAAACAAAAAATGTCTTCTCCATCCGAGGCTCAATCAAAAACTGTAAAGGATGACCACCTTTATGCCTTTTCACCCCTGCCCCAGGAAGATTCTGAACCCTCCCTTCCAATAAACATGCCTCCTGCCGAAGGTGCCTACGCTTACACTTTTTCTCCTCCAGGACTCCAGCTTGCCGATGAAATCTCCTCCGAGTTTTATCCTTCACCAGCCAATGAACCCGAGAACATCTACGCTAAATACGCGAAACTCGCATTCCTTACGTTAGCCATTTCGTACATAATCTTAACATTTAGTCTTCCTCCACCTGCTGTAGTGTTCCATCCAAACTCATTTTCCATATCCAACTTCACCATCTTCAACTCAAGACTGGCAGCCAATTGGGAAGCAGATTTCACATTCGGATGCCAAAACTGCGTCTCCAACTTGACATCCGGGAATGATCGAGAATGTAACACGAGGATTTACTATGATTACATTAAGGGTTACCTCTTTTATAATGAGAATGAGGATGAGCTTTCAACAGTTTCCATTGAGCCTTTTAGCTTACGAGCTAAGGAACACAAAAGGGTTCATGTGAAATTTGGGAATACCGGCTGGGAAGGCAACCAACCCATTGTAGGAAAAGAAGTTGTTGATGAAATTGGTAAGAAAATCGAACGTGGAATGTTGCATATAAGTATGAGGTTAGATGTATGGGTTACATACAAGAAATGGGGATCATTCTGGAAAAATAATCTTTTGGGGATGCCGGATTCATATTGTTGGAATTTACTGGTTGGGGTGATTCCTGAGACAGGAATGGGGAAATTGATTCTTAGTAGGCCTATGAAATGCTATCAATGAAATTGACTATGAATGAATGGTTCAATTGCTTTTTCCCAGTCGATAATACTTTGATTGCTTAAGGTGAAAACCACATGTTTCCCAAAATTTGGATAATGTCCGTGGATGTTCAAATCTAGTAAGCTAGAAATTGCCACTGCCAATAAGTAATATTCCACCAATATATGAAACCAAAACCCCAAGTTCATATTTGAATTTCTAAATTTCAATATAAGAGTTAGCTAACAATTAAAACGAAGATTTGAAAATTTGACATTAATTAATCCCTCTGTAAATTAAAAGATGTTTTCTTTTTATTGAAGTCTTGCAAGGCATTCCTGATTTGATTTATTTGAAAGGAAACAAATTTCGGATGAATATTTGGTCGACTTTGTAGAAAACTGCCAATGATATTAAGATAACCATTAATAATGACCTTCAATTATTTTTTTGGCTGGCTTTTTCGAGTTTCAATTTATTTCTTGAACAAATTTAATTGGAATTTTTTTGACAGATGAAGAATTCTTTTTAAGAAGAAAAAGATGGATTGATAGCGTAAGTTTTTCTAAATTTTGAAAATCAATAGAGGGAGAAAATCTCACATATTAATCATTTAAAACCTAATCAAAACTAAAATCACATAAGCATTTCAAGTTTTGTCCGGACTTAATCTCATTTAACATGTTTTTCTATTTAATAATACAGTTTTAAGTATTTCAAGTTTTGTTTGGATTTAATCTCCTTTTTGAATGATTTTAATGGCGGACATCCCCACATTGCCATGGAAAATTCAAAACTCTACTTCGGAAAAGCTCCCTACAATGATTGAATCCTAGATGACAAAGAAATGGACTTTTATATTCACTACTTGAACTAATTAACCCGTATAAATATTTATAACTAAAATCCAAAACCCTAATATATTGCAAAATACCTAATATAAACTTCATTAGAAGTAAACCTAATAAAATAAAAGGCCTAAACGAATCTCCCTCAAGTCCTTTTGATTTCTTGTAATGCTGAATACAGTTAAAGATTTTAACCAAAAAGGAATTCATTGAAAGAGAAAGATAAGTGCATGTGCTATTTGGTGCGAAAATGTAACAATTTGGGTAGAACAGAGGAGAGATTAAGAAATAAAGTTGTTAGAAATCTGTGACGAAGGCAGCATAAATTACAAGTTAAGAAGAGGGTGAAATCTTATTCATATCTTTTCAAAACATTTTCTACAGTACATAACAATCCATTTGATGAAGGTTTTATACAGTTACAAGGTTGCAAAGCTGGTATAACACATCAATGCTTTGAAAAAAGGGAAAATAACATTGTTTATATAGCATAATTAGTTTCCAAACTAGTTTAGTTTGAACTGATTTGAACAGTTTACTGTTTGGGTTTCTAAATGGTTAATGCTGTGAAAAGATTAGATAATTTTGTTTCAGTTTCGCGTCCATTATATACATGGTTTCGTGCTGTTGTACATTTCGTAGTCCCTCTTCTCTCTTCGGTTTCTGGCTCAGGGAAATTCCTTTTTGCTTGAAAGGAAAATGTTTTCTTCAGCTAAGAAGCAGTTCAATCTAGCAAAAGGTGACCTCCCTTATGCTTTTTCACCATTGCCCCAGGAATCTTGTGCAGTTACTATACAAGACGAACCCATTTCTTCACAAGCTGAAGAAAATTCGCCCCAGCCCTATCCTCCACACTCCAATGGTTCAGCAACCAGGTTGTTCAAGGAGATCATCCGTTATGCGGGACTGCTAGCCTGTATGGGAATTCTTTTTTACGGAGGATACCGGCGAGCCATTGACATTAGTTTCACATATCCATCTCCTGTTCTGGATGCCAACTCATTAACTATATCTAACCTTAATATCCTGAACTCCAAGTTGGTAGGTGTTTGGGATGTTAACATCACGTTTGGGCATTCCTTCGGGGATGATGCAGAGGTTACATACTACGATCTCTTCGCGGGTTCCATCTATTATAAGCAAGTCAATGATACGTGTGCAAGCAATTTGCTTGCAAATGTTAATGCGATGACACTTTACGTGCAGCAGAAGGAAGGCTCTAGGGTGCACTTAGAGTTTGCAAATACAGGATGGGAAGCTGACCAACCGGTTATGGAAGAGCAAGTCATTCAGGAAATAGGTAAGGAACTAGAAAATGGAGTACTGCATTTCTCCTTGGAGATAGAATTTCAGGCTACATTTCAGAAATGGGGAGAATTGTGGTCAGGTGCGGATCATAATAGAATTAATAGGTACTGCTGGGATTTAATGGCCGGGGTTGACAGGGCCACAGGGAAAGGGAGGTTAATTGATGCCAAGGCTGTAAATTGCTATTGAATGTATTATATTTTTCATTTTTTTTTAGTGGATTTTTTTGTTATTATAATTATTAATGGAATGTCAATGGTAATTGTCAAATATATCATTGAACATTTTCATGTAAATTTTTTAAAATGTAACGAATGATCAAGCAAATAGAATTTTTATTTACATTCGGACAAAAAGCAATAGCAAATATACCCGACCCAACATATATCTTACTTCAAGCGGACACTTAATCTTAATGCCCCAAAAAGGAAAAAGATGAAGAAAGAAGGAAATAAAACAGGACTCTTGGTTCGGTTCCAAAAGCAGCGCCTCCCCCTGCCATAAGTTCTGCAGTCTATGATTCATAACAATCAGTAAAGCCTATAACTAAATCAGCTATGCCATAAAAGGAGTGATGGAGATTCAAAAGCTCATTAAAAAATTGGCTTCCCAAAGAGAACAAAAAATTGCCCATGATTATTTTGTAGCAGCTTTGCTGCTTTTTGGATGATAAATCCTACTTATCCCAAAAAACAAAGGACATGATCAAGCAGGAAAAAAGCTTCATTCAGTGGATGATTGAACTGCTTCAGGTAATTCTGAAGGACCCTTTGCACCCCTCATTTCACGGGCTGTAAACTACTATCATTAAGGAGTTGAATATTTGCTCAACTAACTTCTTAGCATAAGACTACACATAGCCTTATTCCATCACATAAACAATTGGGTTTATACAGAGCGTCGCAAAAAGACAAGACGCATTCTATTGTCCTTTGGGCATTTGGGAAAAGGGAGTATAGTTGTACTTGGCGGTTTGCTTTATTCCCTGTTTTAGCACCTTTACAAGCTTTTTTAGAATATGGAAAATTGTCATTTGGTTAATTGGTTAATTAGGTTTTTTTTGTTAAAAACATTTGTGATGCTAATTAAGAAACAGATTATGACAAGTCGTTGAGACTGCTTCTTAATCCATATATATATTATATTATTAGCCTAAAAGCTTGTGAAGAACAACACATTATGGTTATTTGAGCTTGATTTTCTGTCCCATCCTGTATTTATGTTAATGTGTTGTCTACAGCCCTTAGGTTCATCATCATCACCAAATCATCCTTTCTCTTTTCTTTCTCTGAGAATGTCTTCTCTAAGTTGGGTTCGATCAGACGCTGACAAGGGTTATGGCTCCGCGAAGAACTACCCTTGCGAATTTTCTCCCCTGCCCCAGGATGCCTCGGACCCATACTCCGATTCCAATCCCCTAGAGGCTGACGAACCTAAAACGCTTGGCCCCAAAGACTTTTTCTTTGGCTTCCTGTTAGTGATTCTCACGCTGCCAAATCTGCTTATCATTGTGCATATGCTTAGCACTCCTCCAGGAGGACCCATGCTAAATCCTGCCACATTCTCGGTGTCAAACTTCAGCATCTCCGACACAAAACTGGCAGGCACATGGAATGCTGACTTTGCATTTCGGAACTCCCTACATCACCATGAATACGATTACTCTAGTGTTACAGGTACCATCTACTTCAAGGATATTAAGGCGCTTAATGTGCTTTCTGTGGCTTCCGCGAAGCCTTTCGTCTTAGGATTTAAGGAGAGGAAGACTGCGCACATGAAGTTTGCAACCACAGGAGAGAAAATTGAGCAGCAAAAGATTGAATATTCTGTTCTTGATGAGCTGAGCAAGGATCGGGAAACTGGAATGGTTCGTTTCAGTTTGAAGGTTGATGTGACGTATAAATCCAAAGTTTGGGGAACATATTTTCCAAATGTTTTACCGTATACGGATCATTATTGCTGGAATCTAGTTGTCCGATTTGAGCCCGATACAGGAAATGGTAGGTTGATCGATGGGGGACATAAATATTGTCCTTTTTCTTCTTGGTAAAAATTTTGGCTATGGATCCTCTCACAGTCCTTCATATAGCTTAAGCTAGATCCACCGTTGGAGTTTAGGACTCCTTGCGTCGTCTAAATCGGGTGTTCTTTCCGCTTTCTCCTTCTGAGGCACAAGGACTACTGTCTGCCCCTCATTTGATGTAAATTTTTCCAGTTAATTCTACCAAAAAAAAAAAAACAATCATGTTAAAACTGTAAAATTTATTCTTTGGCTGTGTACTGTGTCCTAGCTAAGATACTTGAATCAAAGTTGCTGTGCATTATTCGTACCACTTGCACGCCAAGATTATTTCTCAGAATCATCTCCTCAAACGCCATACAAAGCAAGAACAAGAATAATGGTGGTGAGAAGGAAATGGGAACAAGACACTGGAAAGAAAAGAACAACCTTCGAAATGAATGCCCAGGACTATCACTCAATCATAGCATGGTCTTGCCAATCGCAATTCGAATGCACTCCTCTTCTGATTAGTGTCGTTTCCACTTCATCCTTATATTTCTCACCAAATGTGGAGACCTAGATTCCTTGGTTCTTCATCTTAACAAAAAGGAAGCTAATTGAGCAGTCAGAAATTGCTAAATCCATTGAAGACGCAAAATAGCACAGGTAATTACAAACATAAACACCAGGAGCTTATTCTGCGCTGACGATTACATATGTTGTTTGAATACAGTTTCCATTTTCACCTCCATTTATTCCCTTCAGATTGGAGCTGAAACTAGTACCTAGAACTTAAGAAGACTTCTTATGCAATAAGGGATCAGGGATGACTTGCGGTTCAAAGTCTGGTTTCAGATAACGGGCAAGTATGTCTGCATATAACTCATATCGTGCAGTCATTCTGAACCCCCATTTGTCTTTCAATTGCCTACAGAGGTTAAGATCCATGTCTGAGATCAGCAGCCCGTCCTTATAACGGGAGAGTGATGGTGTGCAGGAAGCATCTGGTGCTGAAAAATGACTAGATCCATAGAAATGCCCAAAATCTGGATGTTGTGGCTTCCCATCCCCTGAAGTGAAGGGGTTAGGGAATATCTCAGTCCCTACACGATTGATTGACCCAACAAAGTAACTATTTGCTATTGCAGCATTACGTGCCTGTCCAAAATGAATAACATGTCAAATGACTTGTAGAAGACAGTGTAGTGGTAGGTATTAACTAAAATAAGGCTAACATCAATGTTAATACGCCATATGCAATTAACAATATTATATAAATGATTGTTTACTGGATCAGTATCACATGAAATCTTTTGATAACTTAGCATTCTATAAATTATGGCTCTTTTTTATAAAAAATTCATAATTAGACAAACAGTCTCATGGTGGATTTTAATCTCAATGGAAGCCTAATCTAAATCTGTAAAAGAACCAGAACGAATATTCAAGAATTTGATAAGAAAGATACATTGTGTGGGAATGAAATATGAAATGGGGTAAAGAATAACCTCTATGGGCCACATTGGTTCGCTAAGTTCACCTACTGTGGCTGATGGGTTGAAAACAATCTCTGCACCATTCAAACCAAAAGCTAGCCAATTCAAAGGATGGTGCCTTCCATAACATATATTAACAGCAATCTTCCCATAAGTAGTCTCAAACACAGGATGCCCAGTATTTCCTTCCATATAATACGTGCTCTCATTAAAGTCCCCAACTCTCGGAATATGGTTCTGCAAGAAGCCATAGTCATTTATGCAAAATTAACAAAAAACTCAAACAATAATGTAAACTGAAACACAGATAAACAACTGCATTTACCTTACGATGTTTGCCTATTATGTTGCCATGATTTCCAATTATAATAGCAGTATTCCAGAGAGTCTCCCCATGATTTACATCCCTCTCAAGAATTGGGTTTATAATGACCATGTTGTACTTGCATGCAAATTCCTGAAGAAATTGTGTAGATTCCCCATTATCAGGCTCTGCAAATTCACACCACCTCTTTTCCCGGGTACAGAAGGCAAACGGCATCATCCATGCTTCCTGAACTTATATCATATGAGAAGTTAATTGGGCCTTTCAGAATAATTAAGCATCAATCAAAAATTTTTTTGATAATACCTGCAAGCATAGTATGTTGACACCTGAAGCACCTGCTGCTTCAATTATTGGTCTCAATTTCTTGAAGATAGCTTTTTTCTGGTCCAAAAAGGGAGCAGTAGTTGGAAGAGCTATAGAGTTCTGAATAAGACCGACCCTTACCACCCGAGGTTCTCTCAACAACTCTTTGTCAGCTGAAAAGCTGAAAGCCTGAAATGATTTGAAATGGTATAATTGAAAACAATTCACAAGAAAAAGCAACTAGTTAATGATTAAGTCATATAAGAAAAGGAAGCACAAATAACTGTCTTCTTAGAATAGGTTCTCTTCTACAATATGCTTTTATCGAATGATAAAAGACAGCCATGATAACAACTTCAAGTCTGCTCAGATCAGGTCTGTATAAGATTAACATTGCAATGAGAAAAAGAATGATTTTCAACCTTTAGAGAAGTGTAGCTTGAATGAAAATCAACATATTTTCAAAGAAAACAATAGACTGTCTATAAGACAGTCCTGGTAGTTGTAAGGTTAGACGTTGAAACTATTCAAATCACATTTTTCAAAATGCATTAATTAGATATTGAAAAGAAAAAGAAAAGGAGGAAATAGATTTAATATAAAATTCAGCACAATCTATGACATAGAACAACTAATCCTGTTAAAGACTGATTAACACATTCTTCACTTCCCTTCAAAATGTGTGGTAGTGCCTTGTATATCTGAAGTGTTTAAAACATATATTGTTCCTTCACTTTGGTTTCAGTCAGGCCAACCTTATGGCTATTATTTTCTGGTACTGATAACCTAGATGATGAATCTCTACATTGACCAATCCATTATGACACAGTAACACTGTATAAATACGCACCTGGATGTCAAAATCATGTTTTGAAGAGAGAGCTATAGCTGATTTGGGGGGAACAATAGTTTCAAGGGGTCTTCCACAATTCAGCCCCAGAAGCAACCGGCTGACTTCCTGCAAATAAATCATATAAACACAAAATTCCAATGATTGTTACTTTTATCAGCATTAATATCAGTATATTTTAACTTTTAATAGGCAAAGACATGTTATTTGTTAATCAGGGTAAAAGTCTACAACTTCCGAGCATCAATTCGGATGATCATTTCAGCAGCAGAGTGATCAATCAAAATTACAATAATCAATCTAATCAAAGTTGACAATTTGCATCGGATTTCCTAATACTCAACAAATATTGATCCAATCAAAACCACAATTCATCCTCTTTGTTAACCAACTTCACAATACTCAAATCATAAAAGGTATGAGCTACTAAAATAACTGGCAAGATTGGATTTTGTCCTCTGTAAGTCAGTAAACTGTATTGTCAAACCAGATTGAAACAACCCAATGAATTCAACAAAATCATTTACAGTCCAGAAACGAAAAAGAGTTGAAAAAGGAAAGACCTGAAAGATTTGAGGTTTGAGATTTGCGCTCAAGAGGCGTTGAAGTGAGTCATACCCACAAATTGATCCATCTTTAAAGCTTTGCTTCTCTTCTACACTTCCATTTTCTTTCTCAATTCCTTCACTTCTCTCCATGCCTGAATTATTACTACTCTGATTGTTTCTTTCTCTTCCTTAATCCTTCTCTATCTGCTTTACACAAATAACAATTTATTGAGTGTATGACTCAAAAACATAACATATGAAGAAAGTTGATCTTCTTTCTTAATAAAAAAATATTAGCTTAACGTATGACTCTTGACTCACTCACCCATAATGGACAGCAAGATAAGGTGTCAGTTTAACCATGAACCGTCAAATTACTGAACGTTCGATCAGATTAAATCTGGCGGCCAGAGGACTGTTTTTGTATGTGGGCCCCTTTTTAAACGAGAAAACAACAACAAGACGGTTTAACCGACACATGTCGGTTCAGTCCAATTCGATAACGGACACGTTTCGATGGAAGCTGATCACCTTTTGCTTTGAATAGCAGGCGAAAGAATCCCGCTTTCGCCAACGAACAAGAAAAAGAAAAAAGAAAAAGGAAAAAAAGAGTTCCCCGTAGTCGTATTTGTTAGAGATGCCAAATGTTTCAGTGGCTTCTTAGGGTTTTCTCGGATCAAAGAGAAAGATAAACTGAAAACAAAAATGGCGAGAAATGGAGATCCAGAGGGCGAGGGAGTACTGCCGAGAGCGTCTTCGAGCACGAGAGTGAGAGCGAGGCCCGACCCGTTACTGGTGGTTTGCCGGTGCTTTAGCGTTATAACCTCTCTTACTGCGATTCTTTGCATTGCCGTCAACGTTCTCTCTGCTGTTCGCTCTTTCAAGAATGGATCTGATGTATGTAAATCTCATCCCCCTCTTTTCCTTTTTCATTTCTTTCTATTTAATAAGTTTTGACCTTTTTATTTTCTTTCTTTCAATGTAACAAAAAAAAAAAGGTTTTTGATGGGATATTCCGGTGTTACGCGGTTGTAATTGCCTTCTTTGTGGTTCTCGCGGAGACAGAATGGGCCTTTATAATCAAGTTTTGGAAGGTTCGTTTTTCCTTTTTTGGTAATTTATATCCTCAAAGCCACATAAATCATCAAACGTTGAACTTGTTTTAAATCTAAACATTGTGCAGGTTTTGGAGTACTGGGCTGGTAGGGGTATGCTTCAAATCTTGTATGTCTTATAGTGCAGTAAGATTTTTCTTTGGTTTTTTTTTTCTATATTTTCCAAAGTATTACTGGGACAGAAAACAGGATTGCACTTAAGACTAGAGAATAACTGTTGTTATGCCCAAAATTTGAGTGTGTAATATATAGTGTTACTATCTTTTGTTGAATAATCTCTCTCTGTTTCTTCTTTGTAAAATCGTTATTGTTTCTCTTCAGTGTTGCAGTAATGACAAGAGCTTTTCCTGATTATTCGGAAAGCCAAAAGGACCTTGTTCTTCTTCAGAACATAGCAAGCTACATGCTCCTTGCCTGCGGTTTAGTCTATGTTTTTTCGGTGAGATAACGGACTTAACGTTTATGTTGCTTTGAGAATTTCTATGCTAAATCGATTAAGTGCTTTTGATTCAATTGGGCTAGTGTAACTTAAAAGGATTGTTCTAGGAAGGTCGAAGGAGATGCTGACCAAGACTCTGATTCATAATTGGAACAATTCTTGATTCAATTCATTACTGAATTGCAAATTTACCTTTTCCTTTTTCCTTTGATCTTGTGCTCTAGTGAGAGTTGACTGTCATGATGCTTATCTATGGGCTGACTGATTTAACTTTGTATTATAGATTAGGTTTGGTTTTCCCTTTCACGTCTTGCTGAATGTAGTTTGTGTTGAAATTGTGGCAGAGCTGTGACTAGAGTTGAGTTTCTGTTTAATCCTTATTGTATCAACAATTTCAGGGACTCTTATGCATTGGCTTTCTCAAACGTTCACGCCAGCAAAAGGAAATTACAAGGGAACAAGCAGTTAAGGATCTGGAGGTAAGCTATGAGAGTTCAAATCAGGCCTTTGGTCTACATCTTGCCTTCATGATTGGTTTTATTTATTGTTTTATCCAATGCTAAGCCTTATTATCAATGTACAGAGGCCTAGTCATACAGTGAATGCATCTTTTGAGATTCAAATCTTCTTGGGTTGACATATGAACAGTAAGAGCACGTGGTACATTGCAAGTGATTGTCAATATGAAATTTATCAATAAACACCTTTGCATAATGAGTAAGGGAGGACCATATCAATCCATTTATTCTGTGATTAAGTAAGGTGTGTAGGTCTGCCAGGTCAACTTGGTTAGTTGGAGATTAGTAATTTAGTATTGAATTTGTATGCATCACTGGTCCATAGTATGAAAGTATCATAGTTGTCAATTAATTTTATCATCAAATATGTTGTTTTTCAAAATAAAGAAAAGAAAAAGAAAATACCATAATCTCATTGACTTTTTATTCGCAGGAATTGGAGAGGCGTAGAGAGGAACTTGAACAATTGCTCTTGGCAGAAAGGGTTTGAGACAATTTGTTCCATTAGTTCAAGGGGCATATTGTTATACGAGTTGCCAGAGGCCAGGGGCCCTAACTCCAAGAACAGCTCAACTTTATGATGTTTGTACTCTTCTCTTTTTTGATGCTTTCTCTCTGTTTTGCTTTCTTGAAGTTGGATGCTAAGCAACAGCATATATTGTGTAAAGTTGTATAGTTCACGTCAACAAGCAATTCTTAATTCTTTTGGAGTGCTATATTAAGTGATTTACAAACATTTCTGATTTAGAGCCTCCACTTGTCTGGCTTATGTACTTGTTCTTTGTTTGCTGACAATGACCTTGCATATTAAACATAATATCTGATGCTCCCATATGCATTTTGGCTGATGGGTGAGAATAGCAGTTACCATACTGGCTTTGGCTTGCACTCTGGTTCCTTCTTTCTCTTCCTGCACGTTTCCAACTCCACCCATCTGAAAAAAAATTGTCACGCGAAACTCATTGGTTGACAAGTTGCATGCATGCGCAAAGTGGACAAGTATGTAATATGTTTCTCTGTTATCAGGTGAGTATGCTAAATACTCCTTGAAGAAAGGGTCGTTTTTAGGTGCAACCTAAATTGAAGTAGTTTGTTAAGGACCAACGTTGGAAGCTGGTAAATCAGTTAAACAATAAATTGCAGAATGTGAATGCAAATGTGTTTCCAATTTGCTGCTGCCATCCAGTCATTAAAAAATGTTTGCAGAAAATGGTGGGTCAATCACTGTCCTGGAATCTATGGCTCCTGATTGGAATCTGAATCTACTGGAATGATTTATCGATGTTTCTCGACATAGCATTCAACCGCAGAATCAAAGTTTGAGTGTAAAACTTTGCTTTTGGAAGTTTCCATAGTAAGTCTTGCCTCCAGGCTTTTCAAATCTTAAAAATTATCACAAAGTCTATCTATTTTAACAAGTATCATAAACTTGTACTCCAAAAGAAATGAAACTGATAAAATAGATCATGTCATAAGGTAATAAGCATATATTAGATTTTAGAATTTGCTCACAAAGTGCAAAGTTCCATGTAGGTGCAAAATCATTGGCATCCGTATACAAACATTTCTTTCTGATAAAGCTCATGATTCATAATATCTTCACATACAGAGACATATCTGGCACTGAATTTCATATGAATTTCAAATGCATTCATTATATAGTTGCATGCTCATTTTTCACTATTAAGTCCCCTTGAGTTTAATGCTTGAATATGGGGAAACATTCCTCCAAATCCGTAGATTCAGAAGGAGCCTCTCCACTAGCACGGTTGCACGCTCAACAAGCACACGGAAAAAAAAAAAAAACAAACAGCAAAAGCATTAACTTTCATCCCCTGACTATAACAATGGCATAATGGCTCCACAAATGGTTACTGAGTTCAAAACTACTTCCACACAACATCCGTGTGGGGTATTCTCTGCAATTTCTGATAAAATTGATAAACTCCTGATTCCTGAATCATTCGATACAAGTGCTCCAGAAGGCAACACAAGTCTACAACATATCTTAATTTATAAACTGAATGTGGTTTCCAATAATATCCAGATAATTTTTTTAAATAATCTTGATTTTCTGATACTGTAGACCAAGGACTAACATATAAGAATTAAGAACACTCATTTCTGGTTGTTCTTATCTGATGCATTTGAATTTTGAGAGTACTTTTTGAGCCATTTCTGCTTGTTCTTCTCAGATGCATTCTGATTTTTAGTGAATTCTGTTAGCCCTTGTCGCAATGCTCCGAGATTAACCCCATTACTCACATATATGCTTGTCACTCCCATCTTAGAGACCTGCCATTGTCATTAAAAATTCTGTTAAGTAGGTGAAATAAGCACAATCCTAAACTAGTCGTTTCTGATAACCATAAAAAAGAAAGGGTAGTTAAGGTTTTTACAACCACACGGCACAAACTACAAGATCCAAATATCCAACTCAATGAAAGACCATTCGACAAGCAAGCAACCACGTAATAAAAAACAGAAGCAAAAGGAGGAGGTATGAAAGGCCATTCTTACAGCTTGTATGTTCCTGTTCTCATCATCAAAAAAGAGCATCGAGTTGAAGGGAATCCCCGTCCGTGAATGAATTCTCTGGAAATGATCCGTCTTGTGTGTCCAGCTAGAAAAAATCTCCTGAATCATCCAAAGAAGAATAATTGAATGTGGTAGCAACAGAAAGGATGATTTACTGTTCATTATCACAGGTCTTTGCTATAAAAATTGTGCTGACAAAACCCCAAACCAAGTTATTAATAGGCAAGAAAAACTCAACTTGAATATCACCAACTGATCCTAAGTAAGCTCCATTCTAGACCCATTAATATCACAGAGAAAGTACATTGTAAGAAAGGACACCATGAATATCGAGTAGGTTAGCTTATAAGGTGTAATGACCACTACCAAAGTAAAAATCTCCTGAAAGCAATAATTCTTATATTATTATTAAATAGAAGTAGACAAATAGAATAATCTTTTAGCTACATCACATCATTCTACATGCCTGTAAATTTCTGCTGCTCAAAACCCTAGCTGTTTCTAAAGAATTCAACTTGCAAGATTCTTCAAGAAAGAAAATATAGTAGCAGTAAAAACGATTCTAACTGGCTCACCTTGGTAACAAACATAGGCTTGATACTCAATTTGTCAAGAAATGTGTTTGCGATATCTGCAGTAGGAGACCTTGAGGCAATAGCTAGATCAATTCCCTTGTCCTTGAGTGCAGATAATATGCCTTTAGCATGGGGGTACACAGATGGCATTTCACGTTTGGAGCGACATTCACTGAAAATTAACCACATGAACTAAGCATTAGCAGGAAAATATGATGAGCCAAACAACTACACAAAAAAAAAAAAAATGGCATTTCATGTCTAGGTAAGAAAGATACAAAGCCAGGCACAGATACTAAGTTCACTGCTCTAGGCAGTCATATTAGTTATAGAAATACTATGTAAAAGATGAAATCTCAAGATTATTCTATGTTCTAAGAATTGATAGTGATAAAGTGTGCTATATATTTTTCAACATGACAATGTCAACTATTTGTCTATTTCAAGCAAAAGAAACGTGAAAGATGACTTTTTTTTTTTTACAGCCAATAAATACAGGAAGATACCCATGTAGAATTCCTTTATCAGCTCAACATGTATAACCATTATCAACCCTGATCAAGTGATTATAATATATAACAATTAAAATTAAAGTCAAAGAAAGCATGATTACCAGTAAAATGGAAACAATTTCAGATAAATATTTGTGGGTATTCATTTGAACACGTTAATTCTATACAAATTGCTCACAAATTTATGACAAAAAGAAAGAAAGAAAGAAAGAAAGAAAGAAGAAAGAAACCAATAGAAAGGCCAGAGAGTGTAATCAAGATCGAAAACGACCAAACGAGGAAGAACTTGGAACATCCCAATAATCCGCATGGCCTCCTCTTTCACTTTCTCTTCTCCCATCCTTTGGCTTCTCTCTGTCTCTCCGTGTTCTGAAATTATGGCAAACGAAGACAGGAGAGAGAGACCTTCGAGAGTCCAGAGGGGCTGGCTGAGGGTTGATTGATAAATGTTTCTTTCTACTCGTCTGTCCGATGGGCAATGAAAGGCCGCCCTTTTGTAATATTTGGCGTTGGCGATTTTTGCCCACTTTTTTTGGATAATTGCACTTTTTCCCCCCTTTCTTTTGAAAACAAATTCATAACGCAGGTGGCTTTTTTTTTTTTTGCCCCTTTTATTTCGATGAGTGACTACTGCAATTTCTGGTGAAGTAAGTTTGTGGGGGTGCTTTTGCATTTGTGGCTATTGTTTTCATATCCCAAAGTAATTTCTAAGAAGTTATTACACATAGAAATCATGTTCCAAATTATTACCAAAAGAGCTAGAAGATTTTAGGTTTATTTCATTTTTAAAATCTGAAGTTTACAAGTCATGGTTTTTACTTTGTAGTTGTTCATCCGTGAACCAAACCTAAATGGCATATAACCGTAGACCAACTGATTTTGCAACTTGCCGGAAAATCTAGATTTTTCAACATACGGAAACAAGTTGCAGCCACAACAAAGGTAATCGGATAACAATTTCTCAAGGGTTTCCACTTACCAAAAACTAGTATACCTTTTTACAATTCCCAATAAGTTGCCAATGGAAACAGTCTTAAAGGTTAAACCCCCACCCCCTCTTTTACATTTGGACAGAAAGTTTAATTGCCCTTCCAACCACATTTTTGCTTCTAATAACACTATTCACAATGCAACTCTTTCCACAGGCTTCATGTCAGTGCCTTCCTATGCCGAGAAGTATATACCTTCAAAACTTTTGTGATTGGCGGCTCATCCCCTTCCTGTACATGATCTCTTTTGCATGTTACTTGCTTTAAGATCAGCTTTTCCAGTCAAATCTGCTTGTTGATGGGATAGAGCAGAAATGTCCCTCTGAAAGGATGAAGGGGAACATGTACTCTCAATGTCATCATGCATACCACTTGACCCTTGGGAATCTTCAACAATACAATCAGAGTAACCTTCATTTGGGGTTGAGGGAGATTCAGGTTCATCAGTTTTCCCATGATGGGAACATACCTCAAACTCTGGAAGATGTTGATCATCTTCTAGCCTTATCTCTGATGAATCACTAGGCTTGTCAAAAGCTGAATCCTCGATATGCAATGGCATCTGTCGGTTCCATGACGTCCTCAACACTCTAATATCTTTGCTAGGATATCGCATGAATAAGCAAGGTTCACTTACCAGTCCAGCAACTTGCTGACCATCTAAATCTGAGGGTGAATCAGCAGCAATTTCTTCGCTTGTCTCCTCTATTTCCTTTTTCAAGCAGAAAAAGTTAAACTATTTCAGACCAAAATTCTCAATAAACAAGAAAATTATACTACTTTCCTTATACATGTCACTGACTCATGTGTGCCAACCAAAATTCAACCTCCCTCCCACTCACTCTCCTTGCTAATAGAATCTTGTTGGCAATGTCGATGTAAACTCACATAATCTTATTTAGTAAAATTTAAAGATGTGAAACCAACAGAAGTAAATAGAATGAAGTGAGGGACAGTCAAGACCTCTACTTTCAACAGAAGCAGCCCCACCAGATGTAGATAAAGGAGCTGCAGGACTTGACACAATTCAAATGAACCCAAAGGAATGACAGGATACCTCACACATACTTAATCTTTGTTTAGGAAAGTACACATTGAGGTTTACAAAGGCAACATTGTTATTTATTTGGCCAGAAATATAATAGCATAAGAATGACCACTAACTTAACGGATATTGGATAAGTCCGAGAATGCTCAATCTTGTTGGAAACATTCCTTTCATTTGCTGGAAGAAGACATGGTTACATAACAATGACAAACAGTTAGAGAATCAACTTATGTTTTCTACTGTAAAATTTCCACAGATGCATCAAAGAGAGAGACAAGGTGATTCACGCCTTACCTATATTTCATTAGCAAATTGATCTTATATCATGCTTTAAGCTTATTGGTATAAAGAAACAAAAGATTACCTCTATAGGTGACATGGCATTTCTTCGATTAAGTGTATTGATCTGTTGATAATTCCCATGGGAGAGCAATCCCCCAGAAATTCCAACCTCATAACACTCAAGAATTTCCAATCCTGAATCTTCACAGCCTTGTATTGGAAGAGATGCAGCAGAGAACGAAAAATTCTCAGACTCCTGCTTAATATCGGAATTTAAGGAATGGCCATGGCCATGACACGTTTTTCTTGATCTGCCAATCTGCTTAAAAAATTGTACTCCAGTTTCTTGCTTCCTTCCACTGGCTAAGAGGGAGGAAGCACACTTAAAAATGCTATCAGCTGACGTGGAACTACAAGATTGCTCCTCCAGGATCTCATAAATTAATTTCTGGATATGAGAACGTTTCAAAGAAGCATCGGCAGGTGGAAACCATCTCATATTAAGCTGAATAAAGGTCAGAGATAATATCAGAAAGGTGAAAAATACATTTGTAAATCCGATCTATGTTTTCCATATTAAAAGGAAAAATGTTCCTTTTTTTTTTGGAAGTTTAAGTTCCATATGATAAACAGGTGACCTACAAGTAAGATAGGACAGAAAATAGGCTAAGTAAGAGGATCATACTCTGAAGTTCATACTAGAAACCAAGTTACCAGTTGATCAATAACCAACAAACATTAATTATTTTCCAAGTCATTCGCAATAGAAATACTAGATGACCAGCAAGCAGAGACTACAAAGCAGAAATAACAAGTAAAATGGTAAAAGTCACAAACAACACTATACTTCTTGCCGTAAGAATAACCTTATGCAAATTTCGAGTCTTTTAGAAAGCAATAACAGTTACTTACAAAGTTGGAGAATCTCGTTATCTTAAAAGGGTTAAAGTTACTTGGTGCTTGCAGAAGAAAGAGTTCCATGTAATGCAGCAAGAAAAGGCCACAGTCAAATGAATTTTCCTGTTGTGGCAGCTGAATTGTACAAAAGGAGAGTTAAAAAATAACCATCAATCAGTTTTGTGAATATGAACGGATGCTTCCTAATAATACCAGCTGACACAACATACCAATTGACACTACAGAATAAACAAGGCTATCCTCCAATATATTCTTTATGTGCTTTTCCCCAGCCTCAATTCCCCAATAAACCTAAGCCATGTGCTGAAATTTTTTAAAATTGGCCCCGAAACAACTTTCTATTGATGAGTCAGCAATTCAAACACTTGGATTCTTTCTTTTTTTTTTTGGTGGGGAATTTAATGAAAGGGATATAAAGAGGAGCAATACCTCTAGGGGAACAAACTGTAAATGTAAAAATTTTGAAGGAACATCATCTGTTGCCTCTCTATGCCTCTCCTTCCACTCTTCAGATAAGTAACTGTCATCTCATAACAAAGAAGTGAGGGAAACAATAAACAAGAGTAGGATCTTTTAAAAGCTGAGAAATGACTACTTCAAACATAGCAGAGAATTTTAAGATAAACAGCTCCTTCTTAAAATAACAGATGCCAAATCATTTATCAACAATTTCAGCTCCTTCTGCATTTCTTTATTCTAATACTCTAACTGATAGACAAACAGTTATTGGGTAATATATAACAGTTAAGGATATCCCCATTAGACCAAATCTGCAGAAGGCAAGAATTCGAAGCTATATGGTTCCTGTCTTTATAGGTTTAAAACCCAGCATAATCCTCACACCTTCAGCTCTACCATAATTAGCTACAATCTTTTGCAAGTTTAATACTAAAATCATAAATTTCATAAAATGTTATGCAAGGATTTTTTCTTTTCTCATTTCCTTTTTCTTCTACTTATAACTTATGTCAGGGACCTCAAAATCAAAACCAATTCTCATCCTACTTTCCGCAAGAGATTGTGGGAAAATGGCCATTGGTGTACGAGGTGGAATCTGAAAAGCTAGATTAAAGGACATGATGGTAAACATTCCAATGGTCATCTGAGGTATAAAGAAAATGGGCTTCAACTCTTTGAAGACAAAGGAATGGTATAGTAAGGAATTTTGGGAACATACATCATGGCTAGGTAAGTTTACTGGTGCCTAGAGCAACTTGTCCACTAGAGCAGCCTTGCAACAAACTGAGGAGAAAGGTAGTAAAAAAATAACACCTAAGTAACTATAATTTTGAGTATCGTGTTTAGTCAGGCTTCTCTAAAGGATTGTTCCTAATGCCACCAACATTGCTTCCTCTACCCAACTTAGAAGGAGCAGCAAACTTAAAGCAGCTATAGTGTGCCTTTAATGACAACACCAATTATTTGCCGACCATCACAAACTTATCCTTTGGTTAATTCAGAGCATCTAATTTTCCAATATTTGTGCAGTAAATAACCAAAGGCATCATGAGGAGAATACACAGTAATTTGTATGTCAGACCAAATTCCAGTGTATTTAGAATACAACAGAATAAATATAATTTCCTCGTGAACTCCTTTTCGTAGTCACAAGATAATTAAAAATTAAAAGTCAATGGGGTAATTCTGGTTTGGAGCAATATTTGTCATTCATCAATCATATTTTTTAGACCTTAACAACTGTCTAATGAGTTAATAACAGAATGATAGGTGTGCTACAATTTTCCTTTCAGACAATCAAAGAAAGAGAGGAGGAAAGAGGTTAAATTGCACATTGGAAGAATGCACGCTCAAAGAAATTCAAAGAGGTTGACCAAGTATGGATGTAGTTGTAAAAGTTCACAATTATTTTCCAATATTGTAATTCATGATGTTTCACTTACAATCCTGTGAACATATTTAGCTCAAATAAGCGAGAAAGATTAGAAAGTAAGCATAAAACTCAGATGAACACACAGAAAAGACAAGGAAGCCCCCAAAAGGTTTTCTCTGTCTTAAATTTCAAAAAAAAAAAAGAAAAGCAATAGCATAGTAACTACTTATGAATGTAATCACAAAAATTACCTCTGAAAAAGATTTTTGAGGCCTCTATGACTTCCTCTAATTGAATCCATGTGCAATATGCAAGGGACTTTAAGTAATTTTTCAGTTTCATCATCTGCAAGACAACTGAAAGAAAAAGGTCAATGTGGAGATAATCATGGTTGCTACAATAAGCTTAAACCACTC